TATTCATTTATTTATTGCACGAGCTATACTTGTGCGCACAGGAAATTGAAAAAAAAGGATTTCTTGGTCTACCATTCTCCTGCAACGACAAACGAAATTCAAGTTGTTTCTGTTAGGTTGTCCCATAAATAATGAATCACTTTGAGTATTTTTCACTTTGATTCTTCTTATTTATCTGAGGTGGTTGCTTTTTCAAACATACACCTCTACTCTTGCTTCCGCTCCTAATACGGAAAAATATGGTCTGTGAATGGCGAGCTAGTCGCTGCCTTTCCTCTAGAATTCCACTGGCCTGTGATCCAATAAAGACCGGATGTCGGTTTTGAAACATACCATTTGGCGTGAAAATTATTTTTCGAAAGAGCGCCAAAGATCTGAGTAGGTGATCGTTCCTTGGCGCGTGGTTAGTGCCACACGTTGTGGCTGAAACAAATGTCAACTCAAGAGTCTTCAATTTTTCATCAATATTTGTCGAGCCACCTCAGAAGAACAGAACACTTTGTTCTGATTTTCTCCCGCATCAAGCTGACGACGTTTGCCTTCAACACTAACCCTGGAATCACTGAGTGGCGGTTCCCAGCGCAAAGTCCCTCTCGTGTTCCACCAACATCTCAGAAGGTCGAACTTAGAGAGGTTGGGCTTTTGCTATCAGAACTCCCGAATCGTTCAAGCTAGGCTACTGCTCCTTGTGGATTTGCTAGCACACTGCACCCAGTCCACAGCACTGGTGAATATGCTGGACGATCAAGGTAAGGAACTGTGGGAAAATCAGAAGACATGACGATGCCATTTCGCGTTTGGAGCTGTTTGGAATTCAGTACATAGGAGATACAAACTCCCTATTTTCAAATCTTTTACTGTATAGGAAGTCGCAATATCTTCTTCAAAACAAAGCGGAGGGCTCCAGCAAATAGGCTGGTCACTCCAGATCCATTCACAGTGGCGTCGGGTAGAGCAGTGGGATTGTTAGTCCTGGGGTGAATGTACTGTGAATACTCTTGAAACAAAAAACGGACCCCCTGGGTCGGAGGAGCGTGCCCCCGCCCATCTTCTGGCTGCTCGGCAGCTTATAAGACCCCATCAAAAGAAAAGAAGGAGGTTCGAAAAACGCGTTCTAGAAAAATCAAAGAAATAGCCACGGAAGGCAGCGTTTGACGGGGCAGATCAAATGAGGTAGGCTATTATGAGTGTTACTTCGCAAAACATCCTTCATGACTTCAGCATTTTTCTAGGAATTTTTAGATCCATTTTAGATTAATAATGAGACAGTATAATATTTACAGGGTTGGGTATAAATGTGGCGCCATCGTAATTGTGGCTCAGTTCGAACTAGAAAACTCGAATGGCGTATCAACTATAGCAACGTATGAACACATCCTATCAAAGAATTATTCACAGTTCTTATTTAAAGTGCTCATAAACTCGAAAATTCCCTTCAAAAAGAGCTTACAGAAATCAACCTCTGCCCACACGACATTCACATTTTGAAAGGGAACAACGCAGCATGGTCGATATAAAAGGATTCCACTGGAATCATCTGTGATAAACGATTCTTCACCGAACTCGAAGAAAGGCGTACCGGACCATGTTAGGACCGCGATGCTACACGGCAGCGAGTGCTGGTCAGAGAGCAAAAAAGGAAAGAGAGGTTAAGTTCGCTCGACGAAATGAGGACGCCGAAGTGGACCTGTGGAGGTAAGTGGACAGGGGCAGAAATGAGCATGTCAGACGGTAATACAGACAGCCCTGTTCAAGTGAAGGTGCAATTGACTGTGATCGTGTGGAAATGTGCTACATGTGCCGGGAGGCTAACAAAAACAACAAATTACCGGTAAAGAAGGCAATGAATTTTTTGAAGGCACGGCCAGTTAACATAGTGTGCCCCAAATGAAAAGCTGAGCGGTCACCATAAAGAAGTACCTAACGAATTCACGGGCGCAGAAGGTGCCTGCAGATAGGACAAGGGCGTCGATATCTAACAAGGGATTTGTGAACCCTGCACGATGCGCGGAATACTGGGAAGGAACGGCCTTCATACACAATGGGGCGAATAATGAAGAAGGGTAAGCATCATAACAACAAAGTTCACATTAACGCCTACTCAAACTGACCTTCCTACAGGGTACTGAACTGCTTGTTAGCAATGTTGCATAGCATTTACACAGCCGAGCAGATTCGATTCCCTATTCCCAGTCAACGAAATCTTCTGAGGAAGTCATTCAATTGTCGTCAGACTTTGTCTCGAAAGCAGAAAATACTGGCATGAGTATCCGCTAGCAGCAGAAATGAGGTGTGTGTCTGTAAAACCCGGTACGAAAGTCGAATATCAGGCTTACTCCAGAAGGATCTGTCAACCTCTAGGGCTCCGTAATTTTCAATGACTCTTCAACTTTTGGGTGAAAGCTCCCTCCTACAAAATTCCTCCTATGCAGTACACTGCTATTAGATCACTGTTGGCCCTTTACCTAGCTCAACCTCTCAAGAGCGCAGCCGCTTTAATCAACTCGATCTCTTTGAGCGTGAGCCCACGCAATGACCGGCTCGTCGGCCATGCAATTGTCTCACATGGCAGTGTCAGCTGCCGAGCCGACGCTAATGAAACGCGTGAACCATCGAAGCGTTAAATCAAATTTATTCGTCTATGTGATAAAGTTAACGCCTTGAGCAATGTGCCAATTCATTTAGGCCAAATATACGGAGGAGAATCACAGACGAGCAGGAGCAACGCAACCCAATTCAGACACGGCGGCCGCGGCGAACGAAACGAAGTCATTCGCCGCAGGGATGTGCTACATACGCTCACTATGGGATCAACTGAAGAAGTAGAAAGAGGAGAAGAAAGATAGAAAGAGAAGAATGAAAGCACATACGAAGACAGAAATATGATCCTGCATCGCAAATTTCACAGTATCATACAAACGTACAATGTACACATAATATGGCCTAGTAAAACCTTAATCTACTATATAATAAGTTAACAGCATTAAATTTCAATAGCATCAGTGGTTGTTGAGTAGTGGAGCATTCAAGTGAGCAACCCAGCTCTCTTCTCTCATAGCCGAATAGGATGCATAATCGAGCGAGATTATGTTAATTAGAACTAAAAGTAAATAGAACATCTGTAAGGTAAAACGTTAAACGTCATAGTGTGAGCGAATTTTGAAAAAATGACGTGGTCAAGTAAAACCGATTAGTAGCGAGCAATCAGTAAAAAACAGAGTGACGTAAATAAAGAATGAAAGACTGCAAGGAGAAAACCCGAAGACGAGGGACTTGATGGGAATCCGAACAGCTTTATTCCATATCGTTCATCCAGTGATCCAAAGGTAACTCGAACATCATGAAATTGGTTCTGAAACAAGAGGAAAATACGTGAAAAAGCGTTCGCGTCGCATAAAGAAATACGATTCTAAGGAAACAGTGTGAAGGCTATTTATATGTTGTTGTTGTTTACGGTCGGTCGTGAGTGGTTTCTACCTGGGTTGGCAAGCGTGGAAGATTCATTTCATGATCAGCGTTTGACCGATCGATTCTTTCTCGGAAAGGCATTTTTTTCTTTTGCTACACTTATAGCGGAACAAAGCCTTTGAAAACGATGAGGCTGTCAAAACGTTGGCCAAAATTAATCTTCCATCTTAACAAACTCGAGGCAAAAGTACAACTCATGATTACAAACTACCAACGGAAAATGACGAGGTTTCAAGATGAGAAAACTTGAAAAACTTTATTTGCTATTAACATGGTTGTCGCCATAATCTAGCAGCAATTGGTAATGTCAACGCAATTATCAGCCATCGTTACAGACCTGAAGGAACCCCGGAGTTAGTGAGAAAGATAACGGTGAACACTTCAGGCTCATCTCAAGGACAAGGGAAATACGCGGTTTCAAAAGCACAGGTCGCAACTGAATCTTTGCGAAATTCCCTCCGTGAATATGATAGTAGGGTCCCCAAGCACAAGAGTGTGACCCATAGTTTCATAGCGTGCGAAGTGCCGACAAAGGCGCGGGACGTTTTCGCCTCAACCTTCGATGTGCTGGTGATTCCCTCTTTTCGTTCGCCTGTGTCTTCCCCGTTCTTATTCATGTCGACTTCCCGTTACATTGCGCCGGTGTCCGCCCTCTCGTACCGCCGTTACTATTCCGTGTGTTCTTCTCTCCTTTCGCCGCCCATGTGAGACCGACGTCCCACTCGGCGACGGACAAGCGATGGAGCGATCGCGATCGAGTGTGACGTCGGTCTGACACAGGGTGTACGGTTACTGTTGCTTTTTTCATCATGACTTTTCGCACTTTCCGTTTTTCTACTGAGCGGAAAAACAAACTAAATCGGTCGCGACTCGTGCCTTTAATCGTCCAGGGAATAGAAATTCAACAAGTTGCATGTACAAATGCAAGTGTTTACGCATTGCACGGTAGGTAAACAAAACACAACCGCTGTACAAATAGTCAGTATGGGACTGCTTTAGTTATAAAGATAAAAAACTCAGGGTGAACAAAAAACCTCGCTTTGCTCCTCTTTTTTTCTCGTTCCGAAAATGTTTGCTGACCTTGAGTCAATCAGCCTTATTCTTGCTTTCGTTCACTCACTTTAGTTCCAAGACCGATGTATGATTTACCAGTTGATTCCATAAGCACATACCCAACCCACGAAAAATTTCTCCTTTACGAATATTGAACTGGCGACAGAATGGAGATGATTTTTAACAACAAAAAGAAGTGCAATAAAAACGGACTAAGATAAATAGCCTACCGCTTTCTAAATCGAAGAGCCGGATAGAGAGCGACGTATGTTCGCGGCACCAACCCTACTTCACCTTCGTGTCCAACACGCTCACATGTCCACCAGTTCTAAACGGAACGATGGATACGCTAGAAACTGCAAGCCAAAAACATCCAAATCGCGAACGCCTACTTCTTTCTTGCATTTACTCAGTCACGGCGCGAGTTCAATTCACCGGCTGTGGAACGAGCTCGTCCTTTCAAAATTGACTGCTTCATTTTAGTCATATGCGGCGTACACCTGAACATCGTAATCAGTAGGAAGAAAACCACTTTTTAGGAGCTTTTTAGTAAGAAAACGAAAAAAGGAAAGAACAAAAGGAAGCATTGTTCTTTTTTCACAGACAGGACTAACAACTAGGTCGTAAAGACAAGACCGAATCGGTAACAAGAAATAACTAAGGGAACAGGAACAGGAGCATGAACACCTTATGCTCGGCGGAACCTCGTATTTCATCTCATTACTAGTCAAGTCACTGACCAACACTAATCGAGTCTGACTGTCTTAACCTAACCTTATGGTTACTCGACTGTTCAAACCCTTCAAACGCTTACCGTTCCGTTATTGATCGTTCCGGTCGCATTATGAGCACAAGTCAGATATCGCAGACACCCATCGTAGCCCTCCTCATCTTCTTCGCATTTCTCGACCGGAGTCTCCATGTCGGACAACGTCGACGCCAGCACGCATGCGCCCCCTTCGACTAATTGGCGGACCTAAAAACAAAAAATTTATCTGATATTGAGGAAAAAAGACATAGACAAACAGGTATAAGGGAAGTTAGAGAAGATAAAGGCATGTGTGAAAAAAGTACAAAGATAGCATCATTCAAGATAGATAGAAGAGTGAAAAAATGCAGTAAGAAAGAGAAGAAAAAATAGAAGAGGGATGAAGAAGAATATGAGAACTTATACAATCAAGAATTCGGTATTTACCAGGGTGAATAAAAACGGAAAGAAATGAAGTAAAGGGAATGCAAAGTAGTGTAAGAACAAATGAATATAGAAGTGTAAACAGAGCAAGTACATGAGCCGGAAAAGTAAGCGAGGGCGGTGAGCAGATACATACAAGCTCATGATGAACGATGAGATGATGAGATTGTGTTACAATGTGACATCACCGCGAAAGTTTTGGAATTTTGCGACACCCCCTTCGGGGGCCTCGATTGCGACCCCTCCCCCAATCACCGTGAACCGATCAATCGATTCCCTCACCACCGTCACACTCAGGAGGTCACCAATAACGACCACACCTTACCACCAGAGGATCTATCTACAGAATTTTTTATTCTGAGGGACCAGTTGACACAGCCCAACTCCACCCACATTTCCCCCAAAACACCACCCGAGCGGGGAGCGGATATACATAAACAGTGGAACGGCAAATTTTTAGAGCACCGACGAATTCTTCTGAAGCACTCACAAAGCGTGCCACACCACAAATCCCCTTGTAAGCGAGCAGGATTAGGAGCATGACACCTTACGCACACGGTGGAACCGTATTTCATTCTCATTACTAGTCAAGTCACTGACCAACACTAATCGAGTCTGACTGTCTTAACCTAACCTTATGGTTACTCGACTGTCTAAACCCTTCAAACGCTTACCGTTCCGTTATTGATCGTTCCGGTAGCATTATGAGCACAAGTCAGATATCGCAGACACCCATCGTAGCCTTCCTCATCTTCTTCGCATTTCTCGACCGGAGTCTCCATGTCGGACAACGTCGACGCCAGCACGCATGCGCCCCCTTCGACTAATTGGCGGACCTAAAAACAAAAAATATCCGATATCTGATATTGAGGAAAAAAGACATAGACAAACAGGTATAAGGGAAGTTAGAGAAGATAAAGACATGTGTGAAAAAAGTACAAAGATAGCATAAAGTGAAAAAATGCAGTAAGAAAGAGAAGAAAAAATAGAAGAGGGATGAGAAGAAATATGAGAACTTGAACAATCAAGAATTCGATATTTACCAGGGTGAATAAAAACGGAAAGAAATGAAGTAAAGGGAATGCAAAGTAGTGTAAGAACAAATGAATATAGAAGTGTAAACAGAGCAAGTACAGAGCCAGGAAAAGTAAGCAGGGCGTGACAGATACATCCAAGCTCATGAGGAAACGATGGAGATCGAAGTGATTATGAGATGCGTACAATGTAACGTCACGTTGGACAAATTTCAAAATTTTACGACCCCCCCCCTTCTGGAGGGCCTCGATACGACCCCCCAGGGTCAACCCTACCGTTGGTACTTTTTGGAAATTTTTCACGACCCCCCTCCACCACCATGAGACTCAGGAGGTCCACCAATAACGACCACCACCCTTACCATCAGAGCTGTTACTATAGTATTTGATTCTGAGACCAGTTGACACAGCCCAACTCCACCCACATTTCCTCCAAAACACCCCCGAGCGGGGAGCGCGATATATATCAACAGTGAAACGGCAAATTTTTAGAGCACCGACGAATTCTTTGAAAACACTCACAAAGCGTCACACCACAAACCTTCTTTTGTGCGAACCCTCGTTGGTGTAGGATTGGCGCTGCCTCCGACCTTACGAATACGACACCCCCCTTTTCGTCTGCCGAATACGACCACCCCCCTCGTTGGACTTTGTCCAACGGACGGTTGACCCTGTTTGGGACGTCAACCGAAAGTCCTTTGAATGATCGCAAGAGCGCATCTAAACTCACCATCGGCAAATTATTGCAGCTGGCCGCACAATGTAGAGGAGTCCAACCATCTGAATCCTGAGCGTTGACATCCGCATCAGATTCGATGAGGAACTGAATCAGCAACCGTCAGATATCAGGCTTTTACCAGAAATGATAAGAAGGTGGGCTCCTTTCTACTCCCCTCATTGATAGAGAGCATATCACCAAATGGATCGATATTCAACTATTCGAAAGGGATTCCACTCACCTTGACGATTTCGTAGTGGCCAGCGCAAATGGCGTTGTGTAGAGCAGTGATGCCTTCATCATTTGCCACCGAAACGTCAGACAACTGAATCAAATTCTCACCGTGATAATACCAGTAGTGTAATCAAACAATCAAGGTGAAATACGAAAATGTCGTGCTAAAGCTCGATCTCTTCAAAAACACTATCAAGACCCAGAGGGTGGTTTCTTGCCCGAAAATGGATCGAATTGTTTATTTTGTCCTTACAAGTGCGGAAGTTTTATGTATACAGCGTATCATTTGATAAATTCGCTGATTATTGATACACAAAAAAGGTACGCTCTCAAAGTTGTAGCCATATCACGGACCCCGTTCCTGCGTGCTGCGCATATCTTCAGGAAGCTTTTAAAGGAACAGTCCAATTCCGAGGTGGTCATACATATGACATGTAGGACGCCGTAAACCTCGGATAGTCTAACAAATAAACCGGAAAAAGCGGAAACAGAAAAGATGAAAACTGTAGAAGTAATGTGCGCTGCCAGTCCGCACGCGAGCGGCGGACTTAAGTCCATGTGTTCTGCTTGGCTGTCAATAGTTAAGGCCCAATCATGTCACCTTTCTGAGCTGTTGCCCAAGGAAGAAGTGTGGAAGTGTTGGCTTACGTAAGCGACGAGAAAGAAAGGAGAGGTCGACGGAACCACTCAAAATGAATGCCTCTTTCGTGCGCCAGACGAGCCACACACATTATGAGAAAAAAGTCTAGGAGACACTGAACGCTGACGCGGGAACAGACATGGAGACAAGAGAGTAGCAGCCCAGCGAGACGCAGATACCGCAGCGAGCGTGCACCAATACAAATATCAAACCCTTAGCCTGTGCGCTGGTGTGCATTTTGGCCGGGGAATGACCTCAAAGAATACACGGATTTCCTAGCAAATCCACAGATTCGCTGCAATTCGAGGGGTACGAGCGGGGCGCCAGCGATTCGGAAAAGATGCATTCAACACGCAAGATGTGCCGCGAAACTCCCAGTCGCCTCAGTAAATTCGTGGGGGTCAAGTCTGCAAAATCCTTCACGACGCGCGAAGGAAGACTAACCATGCGTTTGGGGAGCAAAATTCAATAAATGGGATGGGGGGGTGTGGACATCATCTTAATTATCTCCTGGGAGAGAATTACGCAATGCGATATCATTGTTAGTACTACTCATTTGAAAGGACGCTGGTAAGAGCCATTGGAAACGTATAAGCTGAATGAAAGCGGCTGAAGGCCTAAAACTCGCATTATTGTTTCGCGCAAGACGTGACATTTGCCATCGAGATCGTTTCCTGTTTCTATGTTCAACGATATTGGCCATGTCGAAACTTAACAACTTAAAGCAGCAGTCTTAGCAGGGTTTTTACCTTCGACACTAATGGTGTGGAACGATGCGATAGTCAAGAACGTACTCAACTTGGAAAGCTGCTAGAAAGGGAGCTGAACGGCTCAGAAGGGGCGTGGTTGCGTAATAATCTGCAATCCTCGCGATCCCAATGACGGCCACACACGGAGCCGTTACAGCCAGGGTCAAGCGAGGCGTCGAGGAAAATTCGGAAATACGACCCCCCCCCCCTCCCTCTGCCGAAGGCCGAAGTCCATGAAACAACCCTCTTTAAAAGCCGAACTATGAAAAAGTTGTTTAATTCTCCACCAAAACTGCTCATAAAAAAGCCCTGCTACCCCATCGTCCAAAAAAACTCGTTTAAAAAGTATAAAAGTGAAAAAGTCAAAGAATGATCATTAATGACGAGTCCTGTCAAACGAGCAAACGAGAAACGGAGCAAAAAACGTCAAACTAGTCACTAGAAATGGCGTACGTACTATGACAACACCTCTTCTTTGTTTATTTCCTCCACAAGACTTACCAAATTCTAGTCCACCCTACCCCTGCACGCTCCCGCGCCCTTTATATTTCAATTCTAGTACTACACAGATTATGGTTCTCAATTTACACGTCCCCCTTTCGCTCAAAGGAAGCCTTGTAAAAGCCTTCGCCAGCTGTGTGTTGACTGGACTTTGGCGTTGACCGTGGAGCAGCTTATTTACTATTGAAATTTGAACAAATATTCAAAATGATTATAACTTTCTTCAAAGTTAACGAATTTTCAATCTGAAAGCTGATTTGGGAGTTTTGTGAAGAGCTTTTTCTAATCAGTACTGAAATTACAGGAAGTTATAAGAAATAACAAATTTAGATCAAATAACGAGGAAAATTCGAGACGAGCACGAGTTTTTACACTTTCCGGAGCAATAACTTGCTTCATTTCCGTCAAATTCAAAAAGTTGATACGTCATACAAAACTAGAAGATTTTCTCTATCAAACGGTCGCTAAAGCAGCTTCATACGTCCAGTACTCAAAAAATGGCCACGTTGAGGATTTTTGCAAAATTAACGAGGAAAATTCGTGATGAGTGCGAGTTTTTACGCTTTCCAAAGCCATAACTCCGTTCAAACTCATGCAATCTGGAAAGTTAATACGTCATCATAAACTAGAAGATTTGCTCTTTCTAGGCAACTAAAACTGCTAAATACGTTCACTATTTAAAAATGGCCACGTTGAGGATTTTTGCCCGAGTACCGCCGAAAGGTACTTTTTCGCTACATTAGCACTATCCCAACGACTATAGCTCCTTGCAGGAGCGATTACATACTGAAGTAGGAGCAGATTCAAAATCCTCGTGCTTTTCTCTCTGCAAAAAGTGTAAAATTGTTTAGCGGGTCTCAACTTTAAAGGTTACATGCTTGTGAATTTGACGCTGAAGGCTGCGTTTCTTGTTGAATAGTGTACTCCTCTCTGTAATTTAACATGAACTCTTTCAGAACCTCTTGATTCTTCCTGAATTAAGATTCGTTATCAAGATAGCCGTAGCTGAAGCGCGCGCAACCAACTGGGCCCACTCTGGGATGCGCCGTGTGCTTCACATCTCGTTGGATTTGAGGACCTACTTGAAAGATAAAATATCCCTAGAAAACGTGCGAATTTCGGATCCTTTGACTTGTGTGGTGATGAAACACTAAAGTCACTAAGAATTGCTAAGCGGACACCTCTAAATCACGAAGATTTTGTGTGGACGGAATCAATTGTTATTGGAAATACTCTGGCCTGGTATCGATTCGATCCTTAATGTTTGTCCTCCGACGATGATCCTACTGTATCAATCGGGCCCGATCTCTCCCCAGCGGGCCAATACGACCCCCCCCCTCTGTGACATGTCGAGGATTCCTCAACGCACGCTTGACCCTGGTTCAGCTCCCTTTTAGCAGCTTTCCAAGTGAGTTTTTTGTTCAGTCACACTTCTTATGCTCTTGACTAGGGCTAGCGCATCGTTCCACACCATTAGTGTCAAAGGTAAAAACCTTTAGGACTGTTGCTTTAATACTGGTCTATCTTCAAACGAGTGATAACCAGGCCATCGCTGTGCTTTCTCGCTGTGTTAACCTTTTCGATGACTCAGACTGCGTTTGGCGAAACATGATGATGAAGAGAACCTTCGCCAAACCATCGAAATGGAAAGTTGGTGAATGGACCAATTGGCTTTAAACTTTAATCTTCCGTTAATTGCGACCCGCGCAAAAATCTCGTCAGGTTGATGACTTTCAACGGCACTGCGTGGAATTCATAGCCATGAGGCTTCAGTGACGAAAAATAGCTGTAAGAATACATTAACTACTCGAAACTCTACACCAGCTTACCTTGGCAGCACTGGATTTCACCAGATCCAATTCGCCCTCGAGAGCTGCATCCAACATCAACGCCAACGGATCGAACTCGATGCATCGACGCTCTTTCTTTCAATCCAAGTGGACGCAAAATACCCTTCACAACTCGTCGATTCACCTCCATCTGAAACACATTCAATAAAAACTGTTCTAGAAAATATCTTGCCACTTCTCCCTCAATGGAAATCCCCAGAATTCCCAGGCAGCGCTTGAATTCAAGCGACTTAATGTAAGGCCTCCTAAAAGCTGCCTAATCTCATCTCAAGCTAGACATAATGCCTTGCCATCGCTATCAATTAGCCAGCTACCGGTTATACATGCTCATTACTTCTGTGATGATCACTATAAAACAAGATGATGAGACTAGCTAAGTTCAGCGCAACTGCGCATGAAAACCTTTACGTTCTAGAGAAGCTATGATCACAAAATCGATAAAAATGTAATCGTATATTTGAAATTAGAAAACCTATGGAATAGATATCTAGGCGTTCGGGAAAAATCAATGCAATCAGCCGTGCGATCATACACGATATCCAGAACAGAAAGGTGATTATTGGCTTTTTAACGACAAATCCCCCACACTAGGAAAAGCTTCCAGAAGTCGAAATGACATGCGAAAAAACATCTTTTTAAAAATTCAAAAAATCGACACTTTGGGGGAGCCTGAAAGTTCTGGTCGGAGAATGACTCGAACATGAATGTTTCGACGCTTTTGCCAAAGTATAATTGAGCTTGAAGTTAATCTAGCATGAGTAAGAGGAAATTGACCGCTCTACTATAATCATCATTACTAAAAAATAATGAATGACTATCTGCCGCCCTTTTGACTGCGAACGTGAATCATTCACGGTGAAAGAAAGCCGATCAGAATGCCGCGTTGCAAATCCTCATTTAATTTTTATATTTCTAAACTAACCTCAATATCGTCGTCACTCTTTGCCACAGACTCATCATCAGTAGTTACAGTCCTATCAGAGCCAGACGAGCTTTCCTTCTCGGCTTCGTTAGCTTCGGCCTAAAAGAAGGCAGAAATTGATTTACGATCTTCCTGGCGGGTTCAAAACATTTCCGACTTTGACTTCCTCATGAGCCGTCGGCAGTTCAGGCAAGAAGTGATTTCTGCCTCTCCGTTGCTCCTCGAGTATCCGGCGGATCGTGTCCGCTTCGGGCAACGTAGTTCCCTCCGAAGCCGCCCATGACCTGACAGAAAGAAAGTTAGACGAATGTAATATGTGATTCGACGATTCTGAAACCGATGAGCCTCTCGGGTTTCAAAATTAAGGCAGTCTAAACTTACCTTCTTTTGGCTGCTTTCAAGGAGTCTGTCCGAATGGATACCAAGTCGGTCTTCCCGCTCCGCAACCTCGACTCATCCATACTATCGGCGTATGCGCTGTGATTCTGAAAGCCAGTGACTAATTCACAGAGAAAGAAATTTTGTGGAAGACCCTCAGAGTCGAAGATAAAGGCCCATTCCTTGAAAGAATTCTCACCAAGAAAAAGTCCTGTTGTCGAGTCGTTTCCACCGCTCTGAGTGGCTTCTCCGGAGCCAGTACCGCAGCTGAGGCGTTGGAAACCTCCTCCAGTGTGGGATGAGGATCCTTTGGTGGTGAGGGACTAGCGTCACAACGACTACTAGAGCTTGGATCAATGTTGGCTACCGAAGTATACGTTGAAATAAATGGCGCAGCACTCTCGGCTGGTTCAAGAGGAGGTGATGGTGTCGGTTTGGAATTCTCCCTGGAAACAAGCCATATTAGCGTCGTTGACTTTTTCACTACTTCTTCAATTGTACTGAGAGTCCCAATGAAATCCCTATCCCTCCCATTTGTGAACACTTCCTTCGTTCCACCACGTCTCCGAGTGAAGAAAATCTAGTGCCTTGCCCAGAAGTCACAGCGCAAAATTACGAGGGTGGGCTAAAATTTTTGTCTCACTCATCCTTTCCCACTGTCCGATGTGGATCGACTGACAGTAGAACCATCGATGAAAACAAATATAAAGGAAATAGACCCTAAATGATGCCCATACCTCACAAGGTAAGATCACACAGTACCTGCACTGTGTCTAACAGGAGAGCAACGCGTCGGGTAAAAATCTTTTCAAGAACTGTATGAGGTCAGATCCTAAAGCGAATTCCTACTTCTACGCTGAGCATCGATACATTCTGACATCACTAGATCCCTAGGGTCAGAGTTAGCTGTAACTTGAACGGATTTGTATTTGGCGGTTTTAAAGGCCCGAGTCATACGTCAGCGGAAGAGGGCAGTTGTATTCATGAAATTATTATATGCATGTGCAGTTCAGAAAGAACAATGAGGAATTTTTTAAAATCGCCCCGTCAACCTTCTAGCAAAAAACAAAGCGGAATCAGATTTTGAACGCTGCATGGAACCGTTATATTGGAGGCACCTAGGTGCAGTGGTCGGGACCCTTCAGACATTGCGCGAAAGACGAGCTTATCTAAACAATCAACATCTAACGCGACTTTCGATATTCTCCTTCAGCTCTTTATAGCATAAAGCTCTAAAGAATTCCTATTTACTCCTTTCCTTTTGTAAGAACCTTATGCATAAAGATAGCTAGCAGCCCTGCCTTCGAACCAAAATTGACCATGCGCTCATTGAAGTGGACGTTTCCAGTCATTGAAGAAGAAGGAGCAATTTTCCTGTACCCAACAAATCCACTGTCACTGAAAACTGACTGACGTACCCATCCACTGAGACATCGCCCACAGCGCACTTTTCCTCCTTCAAGTCCGGTTCCGTATCATGCGCAGACACAAGGCTGGCTTGGAATGGCTCTACAGAGGCGCGAGGTCGCTCGTTTACGGCCATCGAACGGCTTGGTTCAGGCACACGTGGAGCCTGTAAACTTGAAATAAATCAAGAAACCCTGAGGGGGAAAATGGCAGCAATTTTTTAAGAGACATATGTTAGCACTTAATAAAACGAAAAAAAGTAGCTTTACAACCTGCTGCTGCATTTTCCGCTGTTCGGAGAGCGCGGCCGCAGCTGCAGCCTTCCTTCTTCGATATATTTCATCGATCTAAACGAAGCTATGAATCATTTACATAGGAAATTATTGTTGATCGACATCAATTCATTTGTGATCGTGTAGTTCCTGCGGGTTTCCCCAAGCGCTTCAAATAAGTTTCCCCGAGTATGATTGCTAGAAGCGAAGTGAAGATATTAGGTCTGATATATGGAAAGCGCCAGAAAAACAAAGTTCCCATGATTTTTGTCATACTCAGGATCTACTCCTTTCTCCGCTTTTCTCTGCGTTCCAGCTTCTCCCAACTTCACACGAGGGGAGCGAGAAAAAGGTCAAAATATTTGGCTTTCTACAGTTATTCCCACATCATCACTACGTCTTATCCAATTACTGACAATATTGTCCAGTCGCAGTCAGCAGCCCGCAGTTATGAAGAGTGACAGTATCTCTACTTCAACTTTCAATCTATTTTCAGCTGTTTTATCGCTTTTACAATTCCGCGTCATTTTACAATCAAGTTATCGTAAACAAGGAATCTTTCAGAGCCGGTTATGGGGTGCAAAGATTGCCTTTACAGCTAATCTACGAACTATGGTATAGCCTCTCCACAAACTCTACGTGTATGCTGGGTCTGCGCGGACTCGCCAGAATAGGTAACCTTGAGCAGCACCCTCGAGTAACCTTTGAAAAGTCATGGAACAACTCTATTGAGTAAAACTGGTGAATAACCAATTATTACCTGCCATTGCAGCGTCTCAACTCGACTGGCCGCTGCCCGAAGTACGCTCTGCTGTTCTCGCAGTTCAGCGCTTAGCTTATTCAACTCATTCTCCTTTTCGCCATTTCTTCTCGTCAAATTACGCGTTTCATGTTCCAACTCGGATAACCTAAAAACTCAAAAGTTGTTGAAGGTTACCACGTCACGTCATAATTCTTTGCCGACCTCCTTAGCTCCCCTTCCTCTTCGGCTAGATCTCTTCGAATCAGATTCAGTTTCTGCGCAGCATCAGCGCCACCTTGCGAGGAGCGCATCGCTTGTCGCCGTTCAACTTCCCGACTGAAACTATTGGAGAATTTCGCTACAAACTCAAATCACCAGAACCTGTGGAGACGGTTGAAATAATCAGAAGTGAAAAAATACCGATTCGCTTCGATCTGCCGTCGCTGCTGTTCAGCATAGTCGACCATGTCGTTGTAACTCCTGGAAAAAATCACGAAACATACGCTAAGGAAAGAAAAACCATCAGCAAGTGTTCAACGGCTTGCTATCACAAAAAAGGTTTCCTTAGAAAATCTTAACTTTTACACATTTCCAGAGTGAACATGTCCAACTCCCCCTAACTGTTTAGTCGCATGCTATTTTTCTTTTTCCAACGAATCTTCCAGGACTGGACGAAAACGAGATTATCATAAGTGGCGCGGCTACAAATGCGTGGTCTGCAAACCAATCCTCAGATCGTACGCGCTCAGGGCAAACTAGCCGTCTGTTCCCCGGTAATTGTGGTCAGCCCGTCTGAAAGGATGACTTGCAAAGAACTGAAAGGTCTGACAAGGAGTTAGGTGTGATCGCCACAATAACTAACTTTGTACAGGTCAAAGCAGCTAAAACTTTCAAAAAAAGCGCCAGAAGCAGCGTTATAACTTATTCTAGAGAGGAGAATTGTAGCGGGGAGGGGGAATTGGTGCGGTGGTCAGTGACACCATTTACCAATGGAATCAACTCCTAGAACGGAACCTGCCCAAGAGAAGGACAAAGACGCTGACTTAGGCATCTACTCGCCCTTGCAGGGCATTGTATGGGCCAAATCACATTCCAGCGCAACGTGTCGGATAGACACGACGATACCATGACGCGCATGCGCGTCAGAATTTCACCCGGTTCTAGCTAGTTTTTTTTCATTTACTTGGCATTTTTTATATTTCAACTTATCCGAAAAACTGTGCATCAATTACCAGTAGTGGAATTATTGAAGAAGTTATGACGATTGTGAAAAAATAAACAAAAAGGTGCCGAGGTACACGCACAAGGGGCTGTCGTCAACGTGTAAATCTATCTATCTATCTCATTCGTCACCACCAAAAGCGTTACCCCTCGTCCTTCTATACCTGCGTACCACTTTTGCGTCCTTGAGAACAGCCGAATTTTCCTTCTTATTTTCATACTGGCACCTTGCTATTATCCTATTCTCTGGTGAACCATCATCATTCTTTAATGCTTGTCATTACAATCCTGTTTCTGCGTCATAGCGCCATTTCTCACTAAACAGTAATGTCTACTTCATAACGCCACCATAGCTACATACACCACCCATATGTTGGAAATAAGCAAACAGAGCACCACCCAAAACGGTGGTCTACTGAGAGCGTTTGGGGGGGGGGCGTGGGGATGATCAAAGCGCAGAATTTCATTCCAACAACAGTAACCCAACTTTTCGCAGCAGAAGAAAGTGCTGTATTGTGTGAACCGCTATGCTTGTGTAGGAAGAGGACTAAGCACGTAATAAAATGGAAATACTACGTGGATTGGGGAGCCTTGAGTGTTCTGCGCCGCGATGCCCCCTCCTAGTACATTAGTGTCCGGTACTAGTGTACTTTTCTGTACGCCTATGGTTCTCCCGAGTTGCATGTAACCTTCTGCAAAGGAATAATTAAAGCTATCTCCCTAGAAACTGGCTCGCTTGGAAACAATGGAAGACACCCCTTAGCCGCGATTAGCTACCAAAAAAGAAGCTCCATTACCTGCTGGCCATCGGAGGAACACTAATTGTGGGAACTGAGTAGGATGATGCTTTGGCGGCACCGACCGATGAAAGACCACATTGCGACGGGTTCAGAGCTGCGGAGCCTGGAGAGGACGTCGTGTAGTGTTGTGGCTGAGAAGAGAATCGGGACGGCGGCGGTTGCGCAACCACACGGATAGGCGGCTTCGTCATCTGAAAACCATCTTTTGAGAAAAAATCAATTTTTCTATGGAAAACACAAATGACTAAGCATCAAAGAAAGCTCTTGGCGAGCAATGTTATACAATGTTGTAAAAGAGAGTGCCGTGAGTAATACAAAAACACTGCTCCAAACTGAAAGAAGCTGGAACGCCTGCGCTTTTACTTCTCCCTTCCACGCCCCTTCCCCATGTGAGGTGGGTGTGGACAGCATACGTTTGACTAGATGATGGCCATCGCTCATGATACCGCGAGGTCACATTCCAATTGATAAGCGAGGAATTCGCGCATATGAGCGATGATTGAAACAACACTGAGAATTACGTGATGCAGTTTCAGGGACAAAAAAAAACTTACAAAAAATAGCCAATCACGACTGCGACGGACACCCACAATGAGATGAAGGAAATGACAAGGACGAAGACCGTCACAACCGCTGAACTCGAAAATGAATCATAATGTCGCAGAAAAGAGATAGAGATAGAACGAATCCATTAGCTTCCGTAAACAGATTAGCATGAATTGATCCGTCAGCCCGATCACTCTGGGCTGGCATTTAACATGATTATCCCCGATGGGGGTGGTGGCGAAGGGCGGAGAGTGGACAGGAATAGAAAACATTCAGTCAATAGCATTCGGAAATCCTACCCATATCAGGGGCATTGAAAAGCCGATTCAGCAACACCTAGCGACCGTGTTCCATACTTTCTGCTTTCAAGTATGCCAGTTAGAGATAACACATACGAAATTCGAGATTTAAACTGCCTATTCTATGGAAGAAAATGTGTTTTGAAAATTAAATTCCTTCAATTACCGCCTTCAAGGTAACTTTGGGACTGAAAACTTTGTGCACCATTTGGTAAAGTCGTTCAACTATTTCAACAAGTACTTTTCAGAAGAAGCGCTTTAGATTTCTCGACTTTTCCGTAGCGGCCCGGCTTCCTCATACTTTCTCGAATAAACACTTCTCTTTCTTTTCCATATAAGCTAAGAAGAATCGACATTTTCCAGAAAATACACTCCCACACTGTGAGCCCTTGAAGTTGGAGGGATCACCGAACCCTTGTCAGCAGTGAGCGCACAGTGAGCTACGCATTGAGAAATTTTGCCGATGCGAACCCCTCAGGTGTGGTCCTACGACGGCTCACCTCCGTATACAGATCCAACCTCATCTGCTTTCTACTCACCTGAAACTAGTCCTGACTTCTTTCATTCGAAAATATCCGTCGAGCTAGAGGGGGAGGGAAGGGTGGGGTTGGGTATGAGTGGAAAATGTTTCAATGGAAGCAGTACGATCCAAAACTTCGTGAGAATCACCAAAACCCGAAACTTGAAAACTCCTGAGTAAATTCTGCTCTTCCTTCCAGAAATACACTGACAAATCAACTCAAAACGGCCTCCTCTCCCAAAGAGCTTTTATATGTAAGACTCCCTATCGAAGAATCTTTGATTGACTTACCATGACTGAGAGCCGGTAAAGGGGATTTGCGCTTCATAACTAGTTCTGAAACCTCTTCAAAGCTTGAGAAGCAGTGTCATAAGACATGGAAAGCCACAAATTTGCGCTCGATGAAACGAAGAAGTTGGTTGACCTTGCAACATTTCTTCAAAACAGATACACTCGATACCGTGTGAGGTGGAAGATGTGTATCAAAAGTGACTATGAAAAATGGGTCGTGAAAACATGGCAATGAAGAATGGGTAATTTAATGACGGCTACCATCTTCTACGGGAAAAAATAAGGAAAAATTCATTTGGAACGCCTCGGGCCCTCAGTGGGCGACATTGTGAAGCTGGATGAAGTGCGAAATTTTTTCAAACAATAAAAAAAGCAAGAGTAAAATTGTTTCGAAAAAAACCACACTCGCAAATAGAGACTACAACTGGTGGGTATGGATTGCTTATTTGTATGGTGTTGATTTTCTGCTTGGGGTTATATAGCGTAATGGTGAACTTTTAACGAAAACAGATTTATGCAGAGCGCATGAACGGTCGACGAACTACTTGAACTCGGTCCTTCGAATTCCGTCAAGGTCAGGGGAAAATTTGGCTGCTCCGGTTGGGTTGGGTAGCGTCTCTGATGTGGTAAGCAAAAGCGCCGCACAAACTGGGAACGCTGCGGCTCAGAACACGACATTTTGTTCGGAAACTAATGATAGTCCACCTATAGACCTGTACGGCACAAAACTAACTAGATTAGGGTAGAAGCGCTTCGTATAATCCTACTATATATAAGCGGCTAGCGTGTGTCTGTTGGTGTGTGTGTGTGTGTGTGTGTGTGTGTGTGTGTGTGTGTGTATGTTTGACCGGAAATTCATAGCTCGAGTCACAGTAATGATAGCGCAGTGGTTCTTACATATGTTATAGGGGGTGGGATGGGGACACAAGTGGTACGTGATAGGAACTGATAACGACTGATAATAGCTGATAAGAGGGGCTAGAAAGCGAGCATCGCCAATTTCGTTTTGCCGTTCATATTGGTACTAGAGCGTCTATACTTACAAGTGTTATGTGGGGCGGTCCCGGGACATTGGTGGTACATGATTGGAAGCGATAGCAACTGATAAGGGCTGATAAGATGCGCAGAACGCGCAAAAGTCGTCGATTCCGTTGCCTGGCTCGCGTTGACACCAGAGCAACCATACTTACAAGTGTTATGTGGGGTGGGACGGGGACATTGTTGGTGGGTGCCAGAAACTGATAACGATTGATAAGGGCCGATAAGGCGCGCCAGAACGCAAAAGTCGTCAATTCCGTTACGCAGCATTGACACTAGAGCGTTCCTACTACAAATTGTAGTATGTCGTAGTAGTACAAACGAAGGTACGTGCACATTATTTCGATATATATCCAGCTTACTTAATAGCAGTCGATTGCATAAATTCAATCAAGTCTTCAGCAAATGATAAGTTTCATTTCTATCACGAAAGCCCAGACTCATTAAACCGCTAATCCTTTCGGGGTTCTAAATAATGGTGAATGTAAATAAATGATAAGCCTTAGCTCCTCACTTATGTAAATAGGCATATTTCGTTTTGATTTTGAGACTGACAGCAATCCTATTCACCGCTAAATTATCTTAATTCAAGAAAAATGCTGGATGTTTACAGAGTTGTGATCAATATACCAGTTCAGCTCAGACGTTATCACGCGTATTCTCGATGAGCTTCAGTGAAACTGTGGAGGGTCTAACACAGTCAATAGTGAGATGGTTAATGGAGTATCTCATGCTGATATTCCATGGGTCCTCCAATTTCGCTAAAGCCTGCCGTGTGATGCGCGCGATAGCGGGCGAAGCAAAACTGGTTATTATAATGGCGGAGGTTGCATTATAAATTCGTATATGAATTATTTAACCCATTCGCGACCGCGCCGGTTTGCGCATTAGCAGGAGAGTCAGGAGATTTTTCTTCAATAAAATTTGAGTGGATGGAGATTCCCCGTGCCCAAGGCTGGCATAGATGAATGAGGGTATGAAGATTCTTTTCAGGAAGAAAACTTTCCAAATTCCATTTGAAACACGGCAGCCACCGGTGGATACCATTGTACAAGTGAGATCTTTGTCAGCCACCGGTGGCTGCCATTGTCACGAATGGTTAAGAGTGGAATGTGAATTTTCATCAATCTGTGCGTCATTATAAAAACTCCTTTTAGGAGCACGGCAAATTGGGAGGAAGGGGAGGCAAGCAAATGATCACTTCTCATATCGATTTCCGAATACGTAGACCTCCGCTTACCTGTCGTCTGTGGAAGCGTAACCACTGGTTCCTGAAGTCACAGTAGAGGATTAAGGGTGAACAACAGGGCAGGGCTATTTATCTTACGACTACATCATCTTCCATACTTTATACTTGCCCTAGGCTTGCTCATAGCCTCTTCATTCAGTTGGTATGTTTGAATTTTTGTAAGGGAAGACCTCGTTTTTAAACCTGAATCTTGCACTTGGGGTACTCAGGAATTTCAGTGTCCTTAAAAAAGAAACTTGACAATGTGTACGTGACCTTAATGGAACCACGGCGATCTTCTCACCTCTCCACAGGGGCGCATGCGATAGCACGTTTGGCCACGCAAGAGCTGGCATTGGTTTGCAGTCGATTTTTTTCCATTCGACCTTGCCGTCTAACTCTGTGAGATCTTACCCAATAGTAATCGCCCAACTCTTGGTGAAAGAGGAGGAATAATCGGGGAACGGCGGGCAATTTAAGTCAAAGGCCACTCACCTCTCACTGCCAAGGACGAGGAAGACAGTTCTTGTTATTCGTTGTTTGCCTGCGTTACTCAGCTACGGAGCACGTTAGTAAGAAAAACCATTTCATTACTAAACTGGGCCAGTTTAGTGTTGCGACTTGGTCATCTTTTCGTTTTTAATACGGCGGATTTTAGATGGATGGCTGTTTCATTCCGTTTGGAATGCCTCATTCAAAAAGTCAAAAAATGTAACAGTTCCTTGCTATTTGATTGCTCCTTAGTTCCAGTTCTTCCCACATTGGGAGCTCCATCCAGAAATATCCAGAGTTTTTTGGCCAATCAATTTAGTTTGACCAGTGGTGTAACTAGCTAATCTCCGCTCAGCATGAAAACAACGGATCTCGTTATTTGTTTTTGGGGTCATCGCCGATTATCCATCAGGATATGCGCGTCCACGCCAAACTGGGTCCTTTCCACTAGTTTTGTGGCGTGCTGCACTTCGTGCAAGCCGTGTATTCAGTATTAGTGGGCTTTAGAGTGTGTTAAATGTTACAGAAAGGTGCACACATTCGGGCTCGTATTCTTTTTGGATTTTAGGCTTTTAGGCTCTCGGTTTGCTTATGAAAAATGTCTGTAAAAATCGAGTATCGTTCCCATTTCTTTTTTTTCTCCTAAGCATCCATTCGTTACCATTTAGTGGGAGAAATAGAGAAGTGATGTTACAGCCTTCCTTATACTTCATACGTGCCCTGTCGGTAAGTTTTGGCCTAGCGAAAGTATTTTTGTTGATTTGGTAGGCGCAAAACCCTTTTCTAAGATGCTCCTCCGGCCGCTCTCCCCTAATGCCCGAGTAATGCTCCTTTTCTTCTCCAGTCATGAAGAATCAGTGAACTACACCGTAAATACTTTTATTGATTTAATGATTTCTCGATGCTTTTCTTGAATTTCCCCTTTCTTAAACATCACTGGCGTTACGATTAATGTTCGCCTGAATTCAACGTATTGATGAAGTTGTAGGGCAGTTAATCAAGTGTAATGTGATTATGCTGGAAATCCACAAATCGAATAATCTTACGGTGACAGTTGTTCGAATAGTGAATTTGATATCCGACCTTTACACATCAAAGTTGAAATCCGTCAATCGGCCACACAAGATGAACATTTGCGTTCGCAGTGACTTTACATCGTAAATCGCCTATGATCTCTGGATAACAGTCGTCGTTATTCGTTCGGTCGCTAACCTCCACCCTCCACACCTTTTATTCGCGAGACTAGTGAAGGACTTTGTTTTGCAATGGAAGTCACGCTGCTAGACACTTCAACAGCTCTCAAGATCGAAAAGTGTCCTCATTCCAAAAAAAGATGGAATCAGGGAAAGTATGTCACGCTTACGGACCGAACCCGCTCAAGTCCTTTTCTGCTTCCGAAAGTCAGTGACTTAGGGCCCGGATAGAGCACAAGTGGGGACTTGGCCAAGTTGAGAGGCCAATATCCAAAGCTATTCGTTGCTTTTTCCACTGGGAACTACAACAATTTGCTGGTGCAAAATCTCGTTGACCGCTTTCTGTAGCTTTGTAGCTCGAATATAAAGGCAAGTTGGCGTTAATCCCTCGTCTTGGGTGCGCCACGCATTCTACCTTCGTTCACAGTTTTCATTCTAAGGCTTGGTAGTTAAAACATGTGGCGCATCGATGTGGCAGAATGCCTGAACTTCCAGAGAAGTCATTCTGTAGGAAGGAACTTTTGGAGATGCTTAGTTCAAGTTCACAAGTGAAGAATAATGTCGAATTTCGGCATTGTTCGTCTTGTTTCACACTGTTTTGCGACCCATTCACGAACATTTTCTCGAGCGCTATTCTGAAGAATTGCAGGATGTTTTTAATGATCATAGGCTGGTGTAAACGATATCGCCGTAATGGATATGGCGACCGATGGTGGTCGCATCCTTAGGCTGCACTGCTTTCTTTGCGCAGTCTATCTTCTC